TGTGTGACGTTATACCTGCAAAAGGTTGACTTGAGATGTTTGTGTAACCATGTTTGTGTTAACATCTCAAGTGCAGCAAGGCTGTTGACCAGGTCTAGCAAGACAAGTCAGACCACATCCATCCCGTCATCGTTACATTGATGTTTTAATGTTTTGTCGATTTATTGTTATTTATTAGTATTTTATGTTGTTGTTGTTGCTTTTGTCTTATTATTGTCTCTTAGTATGTATATGGTTTCATTATTCTACTCTTGTAAAGCACTGTGTGACTAAGGTGTTATATTAAATAAACTTTACTTACTAAATTCACCAAAGGCATGTGTCTTATCCACTGCTCCATCACCACCTACCACCGTTTTCTCCAGATGTTTATTTTTCCCCAATATATGTAAGGTATACAGATATTGGAGAATCTCATAACTTTGAAAGTTATGGCTGGACATCAATAAAACTACTGGTTCTGATATCTGTTTTGTTATGGTTTCAGTAAAGCAAATTTCTTTTGTAAAAACTAGGCTACTTGGTAATAGAGCTGATCTGATTTTGTAGGCAAAGGTGATACTTCCCACGTCAATGATCATATTCAACCACTAGATGGCGCTAAGTACCCAGACCACTTCAATTCACATGGTATCTCAAGCCTGCTTGAGACTGGATTAGATGTACAGGTAGCCTACAGTGACTGCGCACAGCGTGGATGCACACATCCATGGCGCACAGATTCACAAACATGCAAAGACAACATAGACCCCAAGTGTAGACCAGAAGTTAGTTATATGGTTTTGGATTAATATTTTCAAAGTAAAGGAATATTTTACACTTTCCAGTTCCAGCGGTTTGTTGCTATGACTAAGTTTAAGTATTTTTTCACGACTTCTTAAGTCCGGTAAAGTTGGAAATATAGCTATTCACAGATTTGAACTTCCTGGATCAATAACTCATAAGCGAATATGTTTGAAACAAAAACGACTCATCTGTGCTACTGTGGTAAAGTAGACAACAAACTAACTTACAAGCTAATTTTCACCAAAAATATAATTGGATTCTACATGCAGCCGGTTCTGATGATGTAGAAAAATGCTACCTTAATGCAGATTGATGGCATCTACCCTACTGCACCTAAAACAAATGCAAAATAGCATAGACTGTGAGATAGTGATGTGCAGATCGATCCTATTTAGGCTATCTATATTTCTACCAACGATTCCTGCTCTAGGATTGATACTCATATAAAAGGATCGAAATCTAAAATCAGTCATTTGGAGTGAGTGTGTGTTTTATCAGAAGTACTTACTTACTGTCACCAGGATGGTAATTATACTCGGTTGATAGGAACTACTTTTCCTTCCGCCTGTCAAAGTCATGCTTGCGCTACGGCTCTGTGACGGCTAAACATCTGAGATTAAGTCTGTCACAATAATAGGGTGATGTTATGAAGCGGCAGTTCTGAGCAGGATATTTTGATTATAACTAAAGAATATGGCAGTAGTTTGATGTCTTGTCATTATGCAGCTATTATTTTGAATTGGTAAGGCTACAGCCTACTCCTTATTTCTCTAAATACAGAAACGCGAGGGGAGAGGTCACATTAAACTAGAAATAAAATTAAAAGTAAAATTAAAAAAGTATAGGTATTGGTATCTGCAATACCAGCCTGGGTAATACTTGGTATTGGATTGTCTAGGAATTAAGTAGTATCGCACATCACTACTGTGAGATGAGTGCGCAAGGACCGTCTACAAAGTGCAAGGCCGAAAAGACATGCCTGCTACAGAAATATTCAAAGACTTCACTGTTACAGAGAAGTAGGCCTAGTGTCTCCAGAATCACCTCCCACATCAGTGACCATCCGGCTGGTTATTTTACAACACTTAGTTAGAAAGAAAATGGGTTACTGTATAATTTCTGGGAATTTTAACTTTCAAAAACTTTGCTGTTATACAGTTTAGTGTCCTGAAAATTATAACATACTGGCATTTATTTTAACCAGCAGCAGAGCTTGATGTGTGAGGTAATTTTGGAGACAGTTACACTTCACTTAACAGCATCGGCATCGCCAGGTCAGTTTTCCGGGGCTTTAGCCAACGATCGGCCCTTAAAGCATAGGCCTATACTGACATTGGGCTGGCCCAATCACATCTCTTACAGCACCCACTCCCTCCCCCTCTGCTCGAGCTGTTTCTTGTGTTGTGGGCCAAAAAATAAAATAATTCGTCAAATGCGCAAAAATAACTGATATACAGATATGAGCTAAAAAAAAAAAAAATAAGCTACTGATTACTGCATTACATTCTATTACATTTTTACATTTTCAATTGTTCTTCACTTTATAAAAATAAAGACATTTCCACCATAAATTGGTGCAGAAAATGTCTCCAGAATTCAGGAAATGAAGCGTTCAATGCTCAAAATCTTCTGGGGTTGGACCCCCACACCAATCAATCAATAAATAATTCTTAACTGAATTCAGATTAAATAAGCTAATTTATCATTGTGGTGATAAGGTGCCATATGCACATTTAAAAAATTTTTAGGCTAATTCAGTCGTTCAAAGAACGTTTCGTTCATAAGACCTAATCGTGTATATGACTCGAGAGGAACGGGTTGTCTGAGTGAGTGATTCGTTCATTTTCACGCATGCGTGAAGGATCTTGGACTCTGATGTTCACTCATCACACGTCAGCTGCATGGGCTCTGTCAGCACAGGAAACAGAATTGATTAATTCACGACTCTCAACTGTGGGTCTGTTTGAGTCGTTTATTTGTCATGTGACATCTCGGCTACAGGGCTGTGGTAAGCAGGAAGCACAGGAAACAGAACTGATTAGTTCACGACTCTCAACTGTGGGTCTGTTTGAGTCGTTCATTTGTCACGTGACAGCTACTGTGGAGGAGGAATGAACTACTCGTTCACCACTCACATGGGTCCTCCTCAGTCTTTCGTTCACTCGGCAGGTTGAGTTACTGCCAGCGCCGGAGAATGAGAGGCAGGTCGGCTGTTGATTACATATTGACAACATATTTCTGTGGTTTTTACATGGTTTGATTTGGTTGTGGGCCCAGGGGGGGTTATATAATAATGATATACAGTAATGAAGAGGTAAATTTGTGCGTTATACTTTGTCAAATAAAGCAAGCCAGGCAGCCTTCCATGTTTGAGAACATAGAGGGCTGCAGCGCCACATTAACCAGCCTAGTTAAAATGAACGAAATGACTCAAAAAAAGATGAGTTTATTTTAATAAACAAGATTTGAATGAACGAGTCTGTCAAAAGACTCGAACTTGCCATCACTAAGAAACATATCTAACAGCCTTAGTGCATTATATTACACTATATTCTTCTTATTTTGAATTGTCACGTGAGACATTTCCTCAATACATTTGTACAAAGAAATTCACCAGAATGCAGAAAATTAAGTGTTTAAAGCCCACATTTTTCAGGGGGAGGACCCCCCAATTAATATCAGTGTTAATTATTATCAGTAGTTATTACAAAATTCATAATAAATGTAGCCTATATATATAATTTATTGTTGCTATAGACTACTTTGGGTAGGCGGCAATGGTGGGTGGGTTAAAACATGAAAGATTCCTGTGCTGGGCTAAGCCCCCAATGTTTCAAGAGCCTGGAAACGCCCCTTACTACATTTCTGTAGTAACTTATGTCTTTTCGGTGTTGCACTTTGTAGACAGTCACTACGCCCTAAACAGTGTTTTACTAGGCTACACTTTAACGTTACAGGTGTTGTGTCGAATTTTGCCTGCCTGCCGAGAACTGCATGCACCTCATGGGTGATAACAGTCATTTAAGCTGAGAAAAGAGGTGGATGCCGAATTATGCACCTCTTTGGGTCCTTCTCAGACACTTTGCTGTGCTCATTGATCAAACAGCGTTATCACCACATATATTTACTGAATGTCAAGGAATGGTACTTCTACAAAGTGTATTAAAATACTAAACGTTCATAAAATATATACTTCGAATCATTTATCACCATTGATGAAGCCTACAAAGAATATTACAGCGTTTAAAAGCATTATTTGGAGGTGTATGCAATTTTCGGCAGGCAGGCAAAACTATATAATAAATGTATATAAATATAGTCCAACATAACGAAGAAAAGTGAACTGTAAAATGACTATCTTCGTAAAAGGGTTTCTAAAAATCAAGGAAATTTCTCATTTTCACTCCAGTGGAAAATATTAAGGTAATATAAGTTATGACGTCCTTAGATTCTCCAAAATTAACGTTAACCAGTCCAAGAGCTTTTGTTAACATTCATTAACGTTACCGTAAAACGTACCTTGACTGCAGCTAAGTTATAAGAATACCCGTTTTAAACATAGACTGTATTTTTTAACGCGTTTAGCTTGTCGATAGATGTGGTATGAGTTAAACAAGATATTCAGAAATCAATGTAACGTTATGCTAACGTTATTGCTAAGGTAACCTACGGTGAGTGGTGTTCCAGAAAACGTAAGCTAAACGTTAACTAACGACCTCGCAAACCTAATTACACCGAATGTCTTGTGATTTGTTTGGCATGAAAAATATAGGGTAACTTAACGTTAATAATAACGTTAGATAACACAGACATGTTATCCACAACGTTAACATTTAAAAGTTTACATAGTCGTAGCTAACGTTAGCATGGCTTATTAGCATATTAGCATCGCTTACTAGCACGTTAGCTAACGTTAAATAGGTCACCCCAGGTTTGTTGACCAAGTTGAGTATGAATATGTGAATGTAAAATTATAAACACCTGTCAAGAAATAGTTTTCTATATTTATGATGATACGATATCAGTTTAGTAGCATCGTGGACGAGGTGGCCGAGTGGTTAAGGCGATGGACTGCTAATCCATTGTGCTCTGCACGCGTGGGTTCGAATCCCATCCTCGTCGGCAGTTTTTAATGCTTTTATTTTCATTAATCAGCCATTTCATATACGTGGTGAGCGATTCACGTGGTTGTGTATATTTTATTTATCACTATATTTTGTGGTCCCCTTTCGATACAAAGCAAACAGCAGCATAGCATTTCTCTTTGGCAGACCAGCTGCTTATGCATCCATGATCAATTTATGCATCGATTTATATAGATTACATAAAGAAAATTGCAATCTCAATCTTGCACCCTCCTTTACAGTCACACCCTGAAATCTTTAAGACTGTCTTGTATGTTTTTTGTAAAATTACCATATTACAAACAGCCCCAACATACTTTAAGCAAGCATTATGATATTATTTTTTGTGTACCGTACACTTTAAACAAAGGCTTTAACATCATGGTCTTCTTTTAGTTTTATTTCCAAATAATCCTAATCTGCTTGATAGCCTCTGTTGTGACAGCCTTCAGAATATATCTCCATGTGATTCTCAGCAGAGCTCTCCTGGGAATCGGAGGGACATCGGACGTCTCCTATTGCTCCATAACGACTCCTGTCCAGGCCTGAAGAGATGTGCATCTCCTCTGCCTGTTCTTTCATGACATGGTCTGTGGCTTTGCTGCTTGTTGTCTGTGAGTGAAATAGAGAAAATTCAGAGAATGAAATAGGAGTAAATAACCAGCAAACTATTTCTGTATTATTGGCATTTCCTGCCCTGGCAAATCACACAATTATTTAAGCGAGTTAACTTTTTGCTTGTTTTGTTGCTCTTAAATTTTACATTACCTTGTGGACCCGATGATGTTGATCTATGGCGTACTGGTATTTGGCTGCATTCAGACCAAGTGCACCAGCTAGTCTCTCTCCAAGGAAATCACAAGCTAATTTGGGACACAACAACATAGATATCTCATCTGGTCACTCAGTGAAACTTTCTTCATAGCTAAAATGAGGCTACTGTTTATTTAGTATGCCTCAGATGTAGTTAATTGTCACGTTACATACTCAGCAGTGAAATCCTCCCAACTCGTATGGCCACATTCTTGAATGAGAACCTAGTCTGACAAGGCAGAAAGAGAGAACAGATGATATTAGTGCTACTCGATGACTTCTAACATGACATGTTTTGCTTAAACAGTGTCCCACCCTCTCTGCAGGTTCTGTGAAGGGAGGGCTGTTTGATGGCTGCTCTTCTTCCTCCTCACTGTCTTCTTCCTCCAGAGTTTCACCGCTGGAGAAGTGGATGATCCTCCTCTGTTTGGTCATGGCAGGATCCCCAGACTCTGTTTCCTGGATGCCTAGTGATGTCTACCAGATAGGACAGGAATATACATCAACTTTTTGTTTGCATTCTAATGAACGCATTGTCCTTGTGGCTCATTATCTGCGTCCATCATGTTGTAATTTTATAGGCCTTTTATACACAGACTGCATCGGGCTCCAGAGTGAAGATTCACCAATGTCTGGTCACAACTTTCAAACAGTTGTTGAAAGTTAACTTACACCTTTGCTAGAGTGTTACTGAACACAACCTGAGCTAATATGTCTGTTTGTCTTGCTTCATTGTCTTGCTTCACTTACTTCCTGGTAGCTGTTGTTCATTCTTCAGGTACTGCAAGTCTTTCTTTATCGCTCCAGTGCAGCACTGTTGACTTTTTCTCAGGCCACGGCTCTACTGTATGTCCATCCACGCTGACTCTCCTGTGTGGAGGAAAAAAACTACAGGACACAGGATCAGTCTTGAAACCTGAGACGCCAGATAGAGCAGAACAAACCTTATCACAGGCAAGTAGTTAGACAGCTGCCACTGTAACGCAATCAGTGTCAGTCTCGGGCTTGAGGGGCTGGGCTTGCGGTGTTGTGTGTAGAATGTCACTTGATTGACAGAACATTGTTTAATTAACTCATTGGTAAAGTGTTTTAGTGTATACTAAGTGCTACATGTACAAGGTGCAGAATGTAGTACATATTGTATAGATTTAGAACGTATTTGGGACACGCTGCATGTTTTTGAAACGCAGGCTCACTGTCTCCAAACTCGAACCAAGATAACCCTGATCACCAGGGTTATTTTCTTTGGCTTGACAGAGCTCTGTCAAAGTAGTACTAACCAGTAAATATGAACTTTGTTTAGTAAAATAGGTGGCGTTAACATAATGATAACAACTTTATGTGTATAGCACTTACCTAAACAAGGTTACAAAGATGATTGGATGATGCTTACTGTAATTTAATAATTGTAATGACATATGTAAGCACAAGAAGAATGGAGTTTTATGGATGATTTAATAGCGTTTGAAGTACATTTTACATGAAAGACACCATCAGAGGAGGAATAATGAGCTACAGGAGTTTACACTGCCGTGGTGATCTGACACACCCTTTTAATAAACAGTTGCCTTGAAGACCATAAAAGACTAGTATTGTCTGATTTCTACAATATTAAATTTGCTGTTCCAGGTATAATGAACAATAATTAAATGCCTTCACCATTATAATTTCTTTAGATCTCCACTGAAATCCCAGCACACCTGAGTATAGAATCCAAAGGTGTTAAAATGTGCTGTAAAGAAACTCAGTGAGCTTATCTGCTTGTCACTACTGTTGGTGTCTAACTCAGGAAAGCTAATATACATGTAGGGACATAAATGAGCACAAGTGGGCAGTATATTACAGTTTATACAAGTTTCCAGTAGTTGATAGCTCTGCTTTAACCAACATGACTTTATTCTGAAAGAGGGAGTGTGGCAAATTCTGTGAAAAAGCAGGAGCAGCACTTTAACAGCACATCAAAGTATTTTAGACCAGGATGTTCATGTGCCCACCCGCCCCGCCATGGGATCTGATAACGCTCTCTTTTAAGGAAGGGGACAACACTCAATAAATGTACAATAAAAAAAATGTACAACTATTGACAACAGCACTCTCAGCAACAGAACAGTTTACAAGAGAAAGCTTTTTACTGTATGTTTCAGCAGGTATTTTGGTGTGTCCACTGAAACATGAAAAACAACATCACCGAAAACATATGATTGGAGTCACACAGAACTGTATGTTTGTTTTTTTTAAAGTGTTTAAAGTTCTCAACTAAAATATCATGACATTACAATAGAAATAAATTAAGAAGTACTATAATAAAGGGATATATCACAGAATACTGAAGCACAGAAAAGAATGATTTAACCTTGTGTAAGTAGTAAAGTTTTCCTAAATGAATAGTAGAGGTAAAAAAGAAAAAGGCTATGTCATGTCATGTACAAAAGTAACTACAGTACATATGTTGTGATCTAAATCAAATATTGATTGTAAACTCCTACAGCTGAAACAAACCAAATGCTCCCTCCCAGTGTTTTATGAGGAAGTTCTGAACAAATCTCAACTTGAAATGCATTCAAATTATCCAAACATATTGTAGTATACTGTAGATAGTACAGCCTATAAGTACTCATTTAGGATGGTTTCATCATATTCCATGTAGTGGTAAACTTTTCAATTTATTATGTCTTTTTTATCAATACTTTTCAGCGTGTTTAATGAGCCAGTTCCCATTATTTGAGTCATCTATATTCAGGCCAGAGCACTACAGTCCCAAGAAGGTTAAACACCAGACGCTTCTGTAAGGGGGCCACAGTTTACAGGTTTACATTGCAGCCAAAGGCACCATTAATAACTACTTCGCCCATAAGGCTTTTTTATTTTAATCGTTCTACTTTGAAATTACCTCATGTAATTCTTTCAGCTAACATTTAATTACTAATATTCCATCTTGAAATAACTTTTAAAATGTTTAAGGTTATGAGAAGCGGTGAGCTTCTGTGAAGTGACTGGCTGTAGTTTAGATGCATGGATACCCAAATACAATACACATGTTTCAGCATAGATGGTAAAACACCATGGATTAATATTACCCAAAAAAATACATTTGTCCTGTGGAGGTTTATATGAAAGAAATATGGATGCCATCATTACAATAGATGGTTCTGAAGCATGAGGCTGAAAATGCAATCTGTGGAAAGTTTAGGAGACGACACAGCCCGTGTCCTTCTGAGGCTTCAAATCTGGCTCCTTCACTGGTTTCACCTCCTCCTCCTTGGGTTTGGCCTGGGGTTAAAGTAAAAATAACACAGATAATGGAACAACACAGCCTCAGAAACAGATGTAGACTATTATTTAATGGGAATAAAGATTTCATTAGGTCATCCGGACTTTGTTGAAGCTGCAGTACCTTTTCATTTTTGGCTCCCTTGGTCAGGTCAAAGGTGGCATAGACTTCAGCAGTGCACAGCTCAGCGAGAGGCGGCAGCTCGAATGGGACTGGCTCAGCCAGGCCGTAACTCGCCTTCAACTCCAGCTGGGGCGCCTCAGCTGGGACCTTGTGGAAGTATCTGAGGAAATATGTCCAAAGTTATGATTTAAAAGGGGTAGTGTTTAAGTGTTGTGTTTAAGAGTAGATGTTCAAGTTTTGACGATGTTGATGTCTGCCACTTTTTTACAACTGGGAAAGATGCTGTATGCATAGCCAACTAAAAGTGTGCACATGGTTGAGAAAATTATTATTAAAATCATAGAAAAGTTAATGTGCTTGATAAACAAGGGCATAGTCTGGTTTCAGTTTAGCACTTGCATGCTACACTGAAAAAGAGTTCCCATGCTCAGTTCCCATTTTAAAAGTATCTTTCCTAGCGTTGAGATCGAAAAGTCAAAAGTAAAAAAATTCTATCAGCTGTCCTCAGCCATTGTTGCCATCAATGCAACAAAATAAATGGGATAATTAATATATAATATAAATGACAATGAAAATAGATATTCTTGCACATCTGAACTTAAATACACTGAAAAAAAATTATAAACGCAACACTTTTGTCTTTGCCCGCATTCATCATGAACTGAACTCAAAGATCTAAGACTTTCTCTATGCACACAAAAGGCCTACTTCTTTCAAATATTGTTCACAAATCTGTAAATATCTGTGAACACTTCTCCTTTGCCGAGATAATCCATCCACCTCACAGGTGTGGCATATCAAGATGCTGATCAGACAGCATGGGTATTAGGCTGGCCACAATTAAAGGCCAAACAAAATACATATTCTTGCACATCTGAACTTGTATAAATACATAAAACTTCCACTAAAATATACAATGTAACAAACAATATATGTCTGCTCTCTGTGTCTTGCCTGACTGACTCACATGAAGCCATTTTCTCTCTGGCACTTCTCCAGTGTATTTTTAATGACACCGCCCAGTTTGAGGAAGAACAGCTGCTCTGATGGTTTGGCTGTGGTGCCGGGGCCTTTGGTCTGACGATACTCTTTACACAACGCCTCGGCGCGGGAGTAACCTAAACAGAGAAGTCTTCGTGTTAATACAAAAGAAAGCCAGGCAGCAAAGGGTAGCAAGGAATAAACATGCATCTTGATTTCATGACGAGATGTGACCAAAAACAGTGCAGCAACACACAGGAAACGAACACACAGGAAACAAACACACAGGAAACACCTGTGTCATGACCTACTCGAACTACGTGTTACTGAACTCAAGTGAACATATGATATATTCTAGAAGTACTTAAAAGGCATAATGACAAGGATTTGCCAAAAAAAAAAATCTTCATTCACTCTGTAGCTCACTGGACCGTCACTGCTCTTGCTCAAGGAGCCTACTTTGAATTGTCCGTTTACAAACTGCAACCGACAAATCCTACTCATTATGCCTTTAAACATTACTGCATACTTTCAACTATAACCTTTCTACTTGCTGCTCTTTTCTGTTGACTAATTAGATGCATGCTGTGTAAGGCTTTTGCAGAATGCACTTAACCAAAACAAATCAAACTAAACACAACATGCTTACATAATAACGCACTGTACATAATGTACTGTACATACAGATACACAGAAATGGGGAAAAACTTATGTGCAAAGGCACAAATACAGTATGTGGTTTAAAAAGAAGATTTTTAGGTGTAACAACATATTTAACGCATTAAATCCAACACTTTTTATAGATATACATACACTTTTCTGCCTCCTGGAGAGATCTTATAGCCTCACCACACTTGTCACTCGCCAGCAGCGTCTGACCATGATAGCAGTATGCCTGCAAACAGAATGAATGAGTATAATCAAGAGCCTGATCTGTCATTTTTCTTCTTAGTAAAGATAAACTGGTTTCATCCAAAGCACGTATGTTTAGTGAGGTAACTTTACATAAATAAAAGTACTGTGAAATGCATTAGGATATGCATTAACTTACGTAAGCCATGTAAAAGTGCTGCTTCAGCTGAAAATACTTCCTCCACTTGCTACTGCACTCTGGCTCCAACGTGTTCAACGTGTGGTCTGCAGACAGAAATACTGACTTTAATAGCCTGTCATAGCTTCTGTTTGGTGACTGACCGAGAGAGCATTTCAGATTATTACCATAGATGTCACATGGGGTGTGCGAGTGGTGCAGAAGCACAGGGCCTCACGCCTTTTAAGGGCCAGTGAGGGATTATTCCTTCCCAGGTTCTAGGTCCCAGAGAAAGCCTATGGAAAGGTCTATTTCAACATCATAGTTGATCAAGCTGACACAGAGAGCAGTTTGCTCTCTGTGTCAGTTTTACAAGATGTTTGGATTTTTGATTTGACTAGATATTGATCCACAAGGGCACTACCAGACACAAACGCACATGACTTGCTTCAAGAGCTTATGATACTCAGGACAGGATTTCTCATAGTGCTGCTGTACTAACATGTGCTAACATGACCGTCAGAAAACGTTGTAATAATAATAATAATATTTTATCTCCATGTAAAACAAAAATTAAATGTGAAATTGTG